AGGTTCCAATTTGTCGCCTTTTTTGAAAATGGGTGTGACTGATGCTATTTTCCACTGACCTGGTAGGGTTGATGTTTGAAATGATAAATTCATAATTATTGAAAGGGGTTTACTAAGAAAATCATGCTTTTTTAAAAAGAAGGAATTCAATCGATCCAGTCCGGGTGAGGAGTGGTTTTTCAGTTCCATAATGTGCTTTTTGACAATTTCGGGGATAATTGATTCATCGCTTAAGGTGCTATTTAAACGTGGAGCTACAATTTCCGGAATCATATTGCTATTTGCTTCGTTTGTAAAAGTTAAGCTTAATGTTTCTGCCAAAATTTCTGCGGATTCGATGTTACTGGAACTGAGATAACCATCAGCTTTTCGTAACAAAGATACTACTACAGATATATTTATATAGTTTTTACTTTCCTATCTGTATACAGATATAAGGAAAGTATAGGAATCATGATTTTTTCGACCTCGAGTTTTCGACGGATTTTTACGTTTTGAGGTCCCCTGAATCCGTTTTGACTATTTTCGCGATGATGTCTGTGTGTCGCATAACTCATGAACCAATACACAGAAAAACACCAAATTTCAGACTTAAGCTTTGTTCCAGCGTCCAATGTGCTGATTAGATTTTGGGCAGTGTCGGAACATCTGGGGGGGTACTTTATAGGTGGTCATTTTTATATTTTATGGAATATATCTGTTATTTACGTTTGGGGAAGAAAATTCTTCAAATAAAAGTTACTTCTTATATTATTATTATCTAGAATTTTTGTTCTATACAAAATTTTCCTAAAATGGTCCGTATTCGAGAAATTTGATAAAATGTAAAAAAATAATTTTTTATGAAAATTGTTCAAAGAAAAGTTGTTTGTAATATTATTCTCTATAATTTTTACCCTATACATAATTTCTCTAAAATGGACCGTATTCGAGATATTTGAAAAAAATGTGTAAATTTCGAAATTTGTAGAAAACTCAAAAATGGATAAAGAAAAAAACATTAAATTTTAAACTTAAGGTTTATTTCGGATTGACGTGAAATTATTAGATTTTGGACAAAGTCGGAACATCTGGGGGGGGGGTACTTTATGGGAGGACGTTTTTATATTTTATGGAATATATCTGTTATTTATGTTTGGAGAAGAAAATTGTTCAAATAAAAATTACTTCTAATATTATTATCTATAATTTTTGTTTTATGTCAAAATTTCCTGAATTGGCCCGTATTCAAGAAATTTTACAAAATGTGCAAAATTCTAATTTTTATGAAAATTGTTGAACTTAAAGTTGTTTGCGATATCGATCTCTATAATTTTTGTTTATACATGATTTTTCTAAAATGGACCGTAATGGAAAAGTGCTAAATTTAAATTTTTCAGTATTTTCGTTTTCAATGAATATCTATAGAAAAATGTTTCGAGGTAGATGTATGTGGACAATGTATATAAATGGACAATGTAAATAAAAAAAACTAAATAAATAAATAAATAAAATAAATATTTAGTTTATCCTCTAAACATTTATAGAGATGCTGCAATAGGTTGTACAAAATAACTGGAAAAAGCCTGTAATAACTAGATAGGAAAGTCATGTGTTGGACACATCAGATTTTTTTGGATTAGTTTTGGATTAGGTTCTGTAAGAAAATAAGAAATGAAGAGAAATAACAAAATAACGATTGAGTAAAATGTGGATAATTACCATTTTCAATAAAATACAAATATTTGAGAAATGTTGTCTGGACATTTTCTAACATTGAAGAGTAAGTACTATAAACCGGTTGCCAAATTAAGGAGGCATATTCAAGCTTACTTCTGACATATATGTTACCGTGAAACTCCGAAATTGGTGATTGTTGACATACACCGGTTAATGTCGACAGACACCAAATGAATTGGTGAAAGACCGAACAATTATTGGTTTTATAATAAATTCGGCCCTTCACCGGTGTATGTCGACAAACACATATAAGTTTCGGTCGATGTCGGAACCGACAGGTCCTAACAGGCTTTTGTGTGGTTTCTTCGCTTCGCTTTCGTGTGGGCTTGTCGCCTCGCCCGCCAGTCTTACAAAAAGTTTCATTGTTAGCGGTAATATAATTTGTACTCGATGGCTATTGCAGTAAATAGTGATCAATTTCTTGAAAAATTAAATACCCTAATAAGAAGTAAACGAGAAGACAATTGTTTTTATTTTTCTCAAGAAAGGTACTCTAAAATCGTTTCTGAAGTAATTTCTGCTAAAAGTAAGTGCAGTACTCCTTTGGATTACAGACGTTTAAAACGTTTTGACATTTTAAAAGTTAGTGACGAACAAAAGTTAATTGTGCCATTAAAACCAGGGGAAACAAATATCCAGTATTATGTTACGAACGAAGAGTTGTTCAGTATACTTTCCGAAACTCACATACGAACAGGCCATGGAGGAAGAACACGAATGCTGAAAGAATTGCAAGTAAAATACAAAAATATAACTTATGAAGTCGTAATGCTGTATTTAAATTTGTGTAAACAATGTCAAATGAAACACAGTGCGCCTAAAAAGGGTATTGTTGTAAAACCAATGGTGAGTTCCGAATTAAACTCTAGATGTCAAGTCGATTTGATAGACTTGCAATCACACAGTGATGGCGATTACAAATTTATAATGGTTTACCAAGACCACTTAACCAAGTTTGTCCAGTTACGACCGTTAAAAACCAAGAGAGCAGAAGAAGTAGCATATCACCTTCTTCAAATTTTTTTAATATTTGGTGCTCCCGCTATATTGCATTCGGATAATGGCAGAGAGTTCAGTAACCAAGTCATATCTGAACTATGCGCTATGTGGAAAGATGTTAAAATAGTGCACGGAAAGCCTCGTCACAGCCAAACACAAGGCTCAGTCGAAAGAGCCAATCAGGACATACAGAATATGTTAACTGCGTGGATGCACGATAATGATTCAAATAAATGGTCAGAAGGGTTGTCGTTTGTACAATTCGCCAAAAACACAACTTACCATGAAGGAATATGCCAAAGTCCCTATGAAGCTTTGTTTGGCGTTAAACCAAAAAGAGGCCTTGCATCGTCATATCTCCCCAACGAGCAAATTACAAATATTGAAACCGAGGAACAGCTAGAAGCTTACGTTAATACTTGTGAAGAAAATTTAATTGATGACCATGTTTCAGATGTAAGTAACATGGTTGAGACCAATCCACCTTCACCTTATGTATTAACTAATCCGCAATCCAAGACGCCTTCATATGAAGTGTTGACTAATCCGCAACCCAGCACGTCTTCAACTCAATCATTGACTGATCTACAACCGATTACGCCTTCATATGAAGTGTTGACTAATCCGCAACCCAGCACGTCTTCAACTCAATCATTGACTGATCTACAACCGATTACGCCTTCATCTCAAGCACTGACTATGCAGCACGAGCTTATTAATTCAAAAAGAGTAGCTGCAAAAGAGAATCTACTACTCCAAGCAACAAAAATGTTGCGAACTTCTAAAAAAAAGTTTCCTGCCGCCCAAATTGGTGATACCGTAAGAATTAAAGTCCCTGACGTCGACCGTGGTCGTACAGATCCCCGAAATGTGTTAGCCATTGTTGTTGGAGTAGAGGATTCAGACTTTTATAAATTAGCAAACAAAAATGGTACCCTGAAGCAGCTTTTCACCCGTAATCAGTTTGCAATTTGCAAAGAAAAGTTAATTTCCATGGATGAGATTTCAGCTGAAGAAATTTCGGTAAGACAAGCAGCTTCTGCTAATTCAAAAAGTGGAGGGCAAGGCTATACACGCTGTAACTGCAAAAAGAAATGTTCCACGTCTAAATGTAGCTGTAAAAATAAGAGCCTTTTGTGTAATTCAAAATGTCATGGTAGCTTAAGCTGTTGCAATAAATAAGGTGGCCATACATTTACTTCATTTTTTTTTAAATTTTAGTTTAGATAAAATGGATTTTATTTTTATATTAATATTAGATATGTTTGTTGTGTTTGTTTTAAGTTTAACAACTTTATGTTCATTTGGAAACTTCTTCCATGTTTTAATGAAAATAAAATAAGAATAACCTATAGAGTGTGTTTGTTTTCTTTCTATAAAAAATTCTTTTAGACATACACCATGAGTGTATGATGAATGTTGACATTCACCGGTGATAGTTAGAAATAATGATAATTAATGAATATATCGGACATACGCCAAGTAACTTGGTGAATGTTGACATTCACTGGTATATTCTGACAATCACCGGTTTTCGGAGTTTCACGGTAACATATACATTAAATAAAAGTATAAATATATCTATATCTGGTTATTTCACGAAAGAGCCAAGTTTAGTGTTATCGAATATAACCAATCGTATTGTATAATTTGCATTCCAACCAGATAATTTACGAAAATTCTTAAAATATATTTCTTTCCATATTAACCGACTATACTGGTTAATTTACATTTTACCAGGCTAATTTATCGTATTAACTGTAACATACAGTGTGTGGTGTGGTTACATACATTAAGGGGCATTTTGAGAAATATAACGTAATCACTAATGTATTATTCTTTAAAATTATAATATTTTCAAACTCAAATGTAACCAAAACTAATAATTAAACTTCTAAAAAATTTATATACAGTAGGTGCACAGTAAAATGTATTAAATTCGATTTCTAAGCCAATTTAAATAAAAACTGAACGGTGTGTATACATAGGAAAAACAAAATATCGACTTGCTTTTTATGAATATTTATTACAATTAATATATGAATGAAACTTAATTTAAGGTTTAAAAATTGGTATTTACAGCCAAAAATGTCAGTAACCTATAAATAGTCGAAAAGAAAATGAGGACAAGCAAATTTATTTACCAAAAAGTTTTATAGATGTGCCACAATAATTTTGTGAAATAGAAAAAGTAATAGATTGATTCATAAGTGTGAAGATTAAAAAGAAGGAAAATTGATTATTAAGTGATTCTGAAATTAAAATTATAATAACTACATTACCATCTATTGAGGTGGAACTTCGCTCTATCTTCAGGCTTAGGAGGGAACATCTGAGGTCTAATAGTAGTTATCCACTTTTCGTCTACATCCTCAAATGTTTTATAGAATTCCAAATTTCTACTAGACACTAACCAATCTTCCATACCTAAAAAAAGAGAGAATGTAAAAATTTATTTACTTTACTTACTTCAGATAAACCCACCAGGCATATATTTGAGACCAGGTAAAACGCTGGACACATCAACTAATTCTAGTACTCCATCAAACTCTTTTAAAATTCTGTGTACAACAGATTCGTTTTCAATGGGATTAATAGAACAAGTCGAATATACTAATTTTCCATCTACATTTAGTAATTCAACGCCTCTTCTTAATATTCTCGTTTGAACACTTAAAAACAAAAATATACATTTTTTTTTAAATATAACAATATATAGTAGAAAAAGATGGTTTTGATAATTATGTCTGTCACAGCTATATGAAAACTTTTTTCTGCAAAAAATATAAAAATTGTAAATATGTATAATATGGCCAATGGATATTCTCCTATGAAAAAGAAATGTAAAAATAATGAAAATATCGTAATTTTTTGTTTTTACAGCAGTCGTACTTTAAAATAGAAAGGAAGATAAGAAATAATTGATGAAGGAAATGGATGGAAACAGTAACAGATCGGAAGAAAATAGAAAAAAATAAGAAGAAATAAAAAAAAATAAAGTTTAAAGTTAAGACAGATGAAAGAAATGAATAAACAAAGAAAAATTAAGAATAGATGAAGTAGAAAAAGAACAGGATAAGAAATATAAAATAGTAAAAGAAAAAAAACTAACTAAAAAAAATATCTGCGGATATGGAAAAGATAATAATGAGGGCAAAAGAATATCAAACCTAGAAGAAATAAAAAGGAAATCTACTCAAGAAAAGACAAAATCAAGAAATAACATTTGAAAAAAGACTAAGTGCTTTTGAACAAAGTGTTGATAGTTTGAAAAATTATATCCAACCAAGAGTACAAAATGTGATGCAGTAAAAGAGAAATTGAAGGAATATTTTAGGGAGATCGGATAGCCAGAGAAAATGATATTGACCCAATCTGCATATTTAAAAATGTTAGATTTAAAAGGTTTTATGAAAAAAATATAATTGTATTTAAGATTATTAGTAGTAAACATCTGGCAGCAATTCAGCTGAATGGTATATTAAAGAAGTGAAAATTTTTTGAGGATACTAGCTGAAACAGATCAAACAAAATTGGAAAATCATGGAAAAGAGGTTGGATTTTTTTTTAATAACGTTCCAAATAGTATTACAAATGAAAGTCCAAATAATTATGAATCGCTCAATAAATATGTTACTAATACATACCCATGTAAATTTAATCCATTTGCGGCTGTCCATTTCATCCATATATCTGGATTTTTCCTTAAAGTACCGTCTCCAGAACATGGAACATCGCACAGAATTCTATCAAATTTTACCTAAGATTTTAGATAAAAAATTTAAATTATTTAAAGAATATTCAGTGTTCTTTGAAGAAAACAGCGACTTATTTATATTTGATAAATCAAATTCAAATAAAAAATATACCAACCTGTTCTTTAGCACCATCAGGCAAAGTAGTTAATAAATTAGGCAAAATAGCACTGTCATGATTGATAACAGCAACACATGGTGAATTTAGTCGTTTGGCTTGATGTACTAACATGTAACAGCGTTTATTGTCAATATCATTAGCAATAACATAACCGGATGGTATAGGATCTTCATTTGCGTGAAGAAGTTCTAGCAGTTGTGCAGTTTTAGACCCAGGAGCTGCGCACATATCTAATACCTACAAAGGCGTTTCTATTAAAATACTATTTTATTATCATATTTCATTAAGTTTAAAAATGTTGCCAACATGCATATCTGGGTTCGATCCCCAGTGACAACAGGTTTTTTTTTTAAATATTAAGTATTTGTTTTCACCTTTGAGGTCCGGGGATAGTCTTAATAATTCTTAGGAAGATTGTTAAGATTTGTTTTGGATTTTTAAATTATTTCAGCTACTTATTTTTCAGATATACTGATTTTTCGGATTTCGATTTGCAATTTCTTGAAAATAAATTCACAATTCTCAAAGAATTTTACTTTACACTACTTTTGTATGTAAATTTATACGAAATTCTGTATACAATCTGGCTAGAATTCCAGGAATTCCCTTGGAAGTCTCGGAATTCATTCAGATGTCACGGAATTCTTTTAGAAATTGAGGAAACTCATAGAACATTTACAAAAATAAAAATTTACCAAATTTTAAGGAATAGAACCGTGCAAATCAAACAACCAGCAAAATATGGAACCTATATCTAAAAAATATTATGCAGTCCTTTATTGAAATTGGACGACAATGATTGTTATAAAATTAAATTCTTAATAGAAAAAAATAAATTAATTTTAGCAGACGCAGATGACATAGATACTTTCGAAAAAAAAAATATCTTTTTTAGGACAGTAAACTAATTCCAATTCGATTTTTTATAAACATGACAGGAAAAAAAAACAAAATTTAAAATTCTTTGGTTTGATTCGTTTTTATTTAACCTTTTCACTGCGGGAACCGACATAGAAAATGAATAGTGTGCCGTCATTATGAGAAACAACTTTATTCAAATTCCTTGTCTGAGGGTTTGCTGCAGGAATCGATTAATGTTTAGTGATACATAAAATAATTGTTTGCTGCAGTAAAACTGTAAACAATGAGTTGGAAGATAGTCAAATTCCGTTATTAATTTTCATAAAATGTCGGTTCCTGAAGTGAAAGGGTTAAATGTTATGTATTTCTAAATTTCAAACTACAAATGCTTCTTTCCTAAGATGCTATCCTTGAACTTAAGATAGAAACACAGACCTGTTATTGACAAATTTTCAAAATCAATTGAAAAGAAATGAATAAAAAATGTACCATCCAGAAATTCGTAGATCTAATAGAAATAATTTTGAAAGTAGTTAAACTAGGACATTTTAATACATTCAAAACCTTTGACTTTGGAATCATAGTGTTGCATATCTATGAACTGTTCTCTGTGAAAATTTATTATGAGATAAAGGGTGTTCTACATTGAGATAGAATAAAGAGAAGATGCTATGACCACGGCATAAGAAACAATCGGCAGACTAACTTGCCTTGGCGGCAACGCTACGCGCACATCTACGCGCACACCGCCATTTTGGGGTCCAACCTCTCAATCAAGCCAGTGGCGTCACTGTCGTCGTTTATATCGACACAAACAAACAAGTTGCAGCAGCTCGGAATCAGTAGCGTGTGTCTTAAATTTATTTTGTTTGTGATGTGTGTATTATGTAGTTATTGTTATTTTTTTAGAATTATAGATATTTTTTGACACTTTTTATATACCTAGTAGTTGTTTTCCAGTGTTAATTTGTTAACTTTTACGTGTGTTACTATGTCTGGGCAAAGTTGTGCAGCAAAAAACTATATGAATAAACTGTATTAAAAGATTTTTTCGGTTTCTTAAAGATCCTATTAGGTAGGTATGTATGGTATACTTATAAAAAAAAAGTCTAGGTTATGGGTCAGTTTGTCAGTTATAAACCTATTAGTAAGATGTAGGTAGGTGCCTAGTTAACGTCACGTAAAGTTTAGCGTCAATTTATATTTATTTATGTAGGTATATTATTAAGATTTAAAGTAAAATGTTTATTTTAAACATCTCCCGTATGGAGTTGACAAAATGGAAAAGTCTTTATTTTTATTTTAACGAAAAAATAATTATAAAAAAATTCTGTTTGACGAAAAAATAGGTTTACTATATTAATATGTTAGGTCAGGTGTCTTAATAAATGAAGAAACTTGAAATTGACAAAAGGAAAAAATCTGTATTACCTATTGATTTTACGAAGAAAAGTCACAGTTTTCCTGTCGGTTTTCCTTCATAACTTTAAAAGGAAACTTTTTCTTGTAATTTTTTTCAACAAGCAGAATTTTTTGTAAGAAATGCCTTTTTTTTTCTGAAAAAAATGATTATTAATCGTAATTGAGTTATTCCCAAATATTGAAATGCTTAACAAAAATTTAATTGTGATATTCATTTTGCTAATAATTATTCTAGATATGCAAATAACAAAGCTTTATAATCTTGATAAATCTAAAGTATTTTCATTACAAAAAGCAAGAAAATCTTAATTAGCCAGAAATTATAAGTAGTAAATTAAAAATTAGTAATGAGTCATATACAATCAAAATCATGTGTCTTAAGCAGTTTTTCGCTTTCAACGATTGTTTTTTTTTTGTTTTTCGTTTCAGGATTTATGGCTGGAACTCTTATTTTATTTCGCACGATTATAGAAAAATTTTGTTTGTTTTATGTTATTTAAAATAGTTGTTTATTTAGAAAATGTATATTATGTTTATTGTTGTAACTAATAGAGATTCTACAAATAATATTTAGTTGTTAGAATTTTGTAATATTTATTTTACACTTCTAAAATTATTTAACATAAAATTTAACATTTTTATTTGTATTTTTTAATACGCCTGAGATGCGTATTAAAAAAAATACTATTAAAAATGTAAATTTTTTTATTTTGTCGAAGTAAATTCAAAAGCCCGCGAATTTTGAAACTAAAATAGCATTACATCTTTCTATATTACCGACTTAGTATTAATTGCACAAAACTATTTCATATGTCGCTGAAGGTAATCATGCTGCCAAATTTTTGTGAGGAATCTGCAACTCTTAATTATCCTTCCTCCATGATGGTAACTGTGTAAACCCTACATCGGTCCAATTTCAAAGGACGTTCAAAAATTGCAATGTTTAAATTTATTACATTCTGGAACTGAAAACTGCGAAGCAGGTGGGGATGCTTTACTTTTAAGGCTGCATGAAATTCGTAGGACTAGTAAGGATGAGCGATTTTCCAAAATCGCGTGTAATGGTGGCAATATTGTCGAAAATGTAAATAAAAACAAGCATATTAATGAATTGCATGCACAAAATATTAATATTTTTTAAGAAAATTTTATTACATATGCGGATTTTTAATAAAAAAAATGTCTTGAAATTCATAGTTGCGACGTATGTACACAATATGCCTTACCACAAGAAGACTTGGATACAAGCTCCATACATTGTTATTATAAAGCATACAAAAAAAGCAAATGAAGATTTTTTGGCAATTTAAAAATGTCAAATAATAGTTTTGTATGTTTAATAACAAAAATTGAAATAATTTTTCAACAAAACTAGCTGCGAAACCCGGCGTTGCACGGGTTAAAATATACACCGCATGTTTAATGGTGTAAAAAATACATGAAGACACATTTTTAATGTAGATATTATAGATTCCTATCTTAGATATTAAAACTTATTCGACCATTAAACTTACGGTATATAGAGTATTCTGGATCGTTTCAGAATGATAATAACCAATATTATTAATTTCGGAACTTTCCAGATCATTCCAGAAATTTTTAGAATTTTCTGGAACGTTCCAGAATGATAATTAATAGAAATTTCTATTTAATAGAATATTTAGATGCATATCACTTACATTTAGCTCTTTTAGATCGATTATCATAATACTCATACACATTTCGGACCTTTCTCGATCATTATAGAATTTTTATGAACTTTCTGGAACGTTCCAGAATGATAATAACCGATTTTACACATTTTTGAATTTTCTAGATCATTACAGAAATTTTTAGAATTTTCTGGATCTTTTCAGAATGATAATAACCAATATTATTAATTTCGGAACTTTCTAGATCATTCCAGAAAATTTTAGAATTTTCTGGAACGTTCCAGAATGATAATAACGGATAATATTAATTTCGGAACTTTCTAGATCATTCTAGAAATTTTCAGAACTTTCCCGAAGTTCTAATGAGTTAGAAAAGGACAGATATATATCTTATCACATTTTTGCCTCCCACAACCACCCATTTCCACCCACCGCGCCCAAACTCCCTTACTTCCTTCTAGGACCCAAGGGATGTTTACCACCCCAATGGTGATGTTGTTGGAGTTGGTGGTGATAAAGAAAACCGGTCACACACATATTCTACGCTAGCATTTTATATATATATTAAGATTTTGAATTATTTATCACTAAATCCGGCGTTTGTAAATTGTTTTTAGATTTAATTAATTCCGAGATAACATTTGACGCTCCTTGTCTCCAATTTCCAGAAATATATGTTATTAGGTTATATTTAAGGCTACTCATATGTTACACTTTAAAAAATATTAATAGACATTTTAAGATCATCAATAAAAACAAGCTAATTATTTGGTGCAATCTGTAGAGCATATTGGGGGTCTATTCTGTAACAATACTTTTATATTTTAACGGCCGTTAAAATATTGGCGGCCTTTAAAAATATTTTCGTATTCGCTAATTTACTTCTGTCATTATTTAAACGGATTTCTTTAAGATAGTCCTCTATAATGTATTTTAACGGAATCCATTTAAATAATGACAGAAGTAATTTAGAAAATACGAAAATATTTTTAAAGGCCTCCAATATTTTAACGGACGTTAAAATATAAAGGAATTGTTACAGAATAGACCCCATTGTCTTTCTTAATGCTGTTCTTATAAGTTAAATTAAAATATATTTTATGTAAATGTTTACATTTTTGTTTAAATATGATCCTGCCTATCAATACCTTATTTTATTATAAAATCTTTAAATACGCTTTAATCCGACCCTGACCAAGACCCCCGAATGGCGTCGCCAAGGTCAAATTTTCTTAGTATGAAGCCGGCTACTCACTACGCGTTACTTGCCGAGTTACTTGACTTGGACTGAACTTGGCAAGTACTTGTTCGAGTACAAGTAAATCGTCTACATTACGCGCGCCTTCTAAAGTAGTAGTAGTAGTAACTTTACTCGGATCCTTTGACTTCGGTCCGTTTACCGACAACCGACGGGAAGTACAAGTAACTTGCTGAGTCTATACAAGTCTCCATACACATTACATGGTACTTGCAAAGTTCAGTCCAAGTCAAGTAACTCGGCAAGTAACGCGTAGTGAGTAGCCGGCTTAATATTTGTATGCGATCAGCGGCAAGTGATCCTGCCGATTGTTTCTTATGCCGTGCTATGACTATGCTATAGTGTCCGCACGTTTGAATTACACTTTTACGTCATAATAATATGTCAAACTGAAGTTAGTCAATTTTGGTGAGAATAACAGCCATTTTTTTTTAAAAGCTTCATTTAAATGATATAAAATCATTTTCATTCCATCATTCTTCAAATATAAAATTATTAACTTCAAATAAATCAAAGTACAATTCAAGTCACTATTTTCATTATATTTTTCCTTCACTCAAAGTGTGTCCATCTGTTACATCATAAAATAGTGTTTATGTCATCTTCACTTTATTCTATCTTTAAAGAAAAAATATAAGTTTATATTATCATCCTGTATACCTTTTGTATGTGACAGTCAAAGCATTTTATAAATTAAAAGAATGTTTTAATATAAATTATTTTGTCTAAAGGTTTTTTCATAGCTGCTATAGTACCATGGTTTGATAATGAGGTTTACAATAAAATTAAAATCCAAGATAATGCTTACTAACAAGTCTTTCAAGTCATGTGCAAAACATCAAGAGCTGAATATGTGGAATAAATTTAAAAAATGTAGAAATGAGGTAGTTAATGTGCTGAAATCAAAAAAATCTACTTATTATTTTAATAAAATTGATTGTTTCAAAGAAAATCCTAAAGAGATGTGGAAAACTTTAAAAAAACTAGTAAATATTAAATTAAATGATGTGACTGATCATGTTCAATTTAGTGATCAAACAGGCCATATTATCCTTTATGATAATGTTGACATAGCAACTAAATTTAATGAATATTTTGTTGAAAGTATTATGGATATTATTGGAAGTATTGATGCAATTGTTCCCTGGCATAATCTAAACAATAATTTATACTTACCATTTCACAACTTTAATTTACTAACTTTATATGACTTATATAAAATATTGAACTTGTTAGATAATAAATATGCTGCATTTAGTATTCTTAATTCTAAAGTTCTAACGGAAGTGTATGTAACAATTGGGAAAATTATTTTAAACTTAATACCTCACTTGATAATGGCAAAGTTTCATCTCAACTAAAAATTAGTACTATTGTTCCAATTCAAAAAGTTAATAATACAATAAAATCGGAAGAATTTAGGCCTGTAAATACTCTCCCGTCAATTGAAAAGGTATTAGAGCTGGTTGTGTATGAAAACTACTTGAACATGTTAATAATAATTCTATTTTAATAACTAAGTAGTCTGGGTTCAGAAAAAAGTATTCCTATGAGTCTGCATTACAGTTAATGGTGAGTAAATTTAAAAATGATGTGGATGAGAATAAATATGTAGTAGCTGTTTTTTTAGACCTGAAACGTGCATTTGAGACCATTGATAGGGGTATTTTACTTAAGAAAATTAAACAATATGGTGTAGGTGGAAAAGTATACCAGTGGCTGAATGATTATCTGCAAGGTCGTAGACAAGAAGTACATTTTATCAATCAGATATCACCCGAGATTAACATTGACACAGGGGTTCCGCAAGGAAGTATCCTAGGGCCGCTGCTTTTATACTATATTTGAATGATATTGGACTGTTTGTTGATTGTGAATTCATTAATCTCTTTGCTGATGACACTCTGCTAGCATGCTCTGATATAAATTTAATGAGTGCAATTGAGAACATGAATAAAATACTGGAGAAAGTTGCCCAGTATTTTCAACTCAACAAATTGAAATTGAATGTAACTAAGACAAAAACACTTATTTTTACAACTAAACATAAATATAGCTTACTTGATATCAACTATGTTAATTTACAAATAAATGGTGAAAAAATCGCAGTAGTCCCAACTATTAAGTATTTAGGTATCCAATTAGTTAATGTACTTACTTTTAATGATTTCTTTAGTTATATTAATAAAAAAAAAATTGAAAAAATTATATTTCTTCTCTAAAATTTCAAATAACTTGTCAACTTCAACTAAAATAACAGTATATAATACAATTATTCAGCCTAACTTCGATTATTGTGCCTCCATTCTTCATTTATTTAATCTCAACAAGTTAAATCAACTTCAAAAACTACAAAATTGAGGCACGCGCATAATATTAAAAATCTGATGTGTCCAACACATGACTTTCCTATCTAGTTATTATAGGCTTTTTCCAGTTATTTTGTACAACCTATTGCAGCATGTCTATAAATGTTTAGAGGATAAACTAAATATATACATTGTCCACATACATCTACCTCGAAACATTTTTCTATAGATGTTCATTGAAAACGAAAATACTGAAAAATTTAAATTTAGCACTTTTCCATTAGGGTCCATTTTAGAAAAATCATGTATAAACAAAAATTATAGAGATCGATATCGCAAACAACTTTAAGTTCAACAATTTTCATAAAAATCAGAATTTTGCATATTTTGTCAAATTTCTCGAATACGGACCATTTCAGGAAATTTTGACATAAAACAAAAATTATAGATAATAATATTAGAAGTAATTTTTATTTAAACAATTTTCTTCTCCAAACATAAATAACAGATATATTCCATAAAATATAAAAACGGCCTCCCATAAAGTACCCCCCTAGATGTTCCGACTTTGTCCAAAATCTAATCATTTTACGTCAGGCCGAAATAAACCTTAAGTTTAAAATTTAATGTTTTTTTCTTTATCCGTTTTTGAGTTTTCTTCAAAATTCGAAATTTACACATTTTCTCAAATATCTCGAATACGGTCCCATTTTAGAGAAATTATGTATAGAATAAAAATTATAGAGAATTATATTACAAACAACTTTTATTTGAACAATTTTTATAAAAAAATATTTTTTTTACATTTTGTCAAATTTCTCGAATACGGACCATTTTAGGAAAATTTTGTATAGGACAAAAATTATAATTTTCTTCTCCAAACGTAAATAACATATATATTCCATAAAATATAAAAATGACCACCTATAAAGTACCCCCCCAGATGTTCCGACTCTGCCCAAAATCTAACCAGTTTATTAGACGCTGGAATAAAGCTTAAGTTTAAAATTTGGTGTTTTTCTGTGTATTGGTTCATGAGTTATGCGACCTACAGACACACACACAGAGATCATCGCTAAAATAGTCAAAACGGATTCAAGGGACCTCAAAACGTAAAAATCCGTCGAAAACTTGAGGTCGAAAAAAATCATGATTCCTATACTTTCCTTATATCTGTATACAGATAGGAAAGTAAAAACTAATCGTCTTACACCAATTGCCACAATGTTAAATTCTCTTCAATGGTTTTCAATTCAGCAAAGGTTGTAATACTTGACAATTATGTTTATTTATAAAATTCATTTTTTTGCTCCATCCTACTTTCATCAATTTATTTGTTATCATGGGGATATTCATGATTACAGCACAAGATCAACTAATGATATATATTAAGTGTAAAGGTTAAAGAAAAAGTCCTTTATTTCTCACAAAGTGACTTTGTGAGAAATAAAGGACTTTTTCTTTAACCTTTACACTTAATCCCTACTACTCACATATGGCTGCCCTCACTCCAAATAATGATATATACATTAAAAAAGTGAATTATTCGAAATCACAGGCATCGTTATTGTATAAAGGTTTCCAAGAATATAATGAACTACCCAGGGGCTTGAAGGATTGTAATTCATTAGCAAGTTTTAAAAAAAATTTACAACTTTTATTAAATCTGATAAAATTTCATTTTAAATTTTATATATTTGATTATTACTTTTTTATTCTTCTTTTTTAATATTTGGGTTCATGCTTTCAACTGTTATTTGTTTTATTGTTAATTAAGGCTGACTAAACTCAAGATTAAAAGTATCTTTGTAATGTATAACAAATTTATTTTTCTTAACTCAGATTATGTTAATAATAATTATCTTTAAGTTTTAAGTGTACTGTATTTGTATTTCTATATTTTTTTTGTATATTAGGTTTATCCTACTTCAATAAATATCTATCTATCTATAGTTTTCTATACACTGTGTCCCAGACATGTATTGCTATTTTGATTATTATAAGAACTATACATTCGGTTAGGAGCAATGTTTCTATAAAAAAAAAATATAATTAGAATGGGAAAATACCTTATGATGAGATTGTACATCAAGCAATAGAGGAGGTATCATACTGACAGTTTCTTGTCTCGAAATTGTACCATTTTCTGTTTCAGATATCAAAAAATTGTGAAGTTTATAATAAGCCTCAACTCTTCTTATATCTTTTCTGGTTATTTCCATTTGCCAAGCCAATTTATTTGGGTACCTAAAACAAATTTAAACGGTAGGATAATACAATAACCAATTCAATAAGCTTACCATGGAAGAGGAAATATATTTGGTTTTTCTGTTCCTTCTACTTCATTAACGCAATGTTTTATGAGTTGGTTTTCAACAATTTCCAATATTTTGCAAGCAACTTCTTTAGATCCTGTTATTCTAAATGTTGCAGGGAGATCTGTTTTTAAACACGTTATGAAATCATTAAATTCGGCTTCTTTGCATACATTTAGATGCTAAAATTATAAAATAAATCAATGAAAGTTTTTCGTTTAGGTTTTTATTCATACTTTATAGTATTCCACAAACTTTTCGTTTTCTCTTATTATATCAGAGTAGGGTTTTCGAGTATCAACATTATTTTGCTTGCCTTGCTCTTGATCGGCCTATAAAAATACAATTTGACACAGGATAAATAATCATGTAAAACGTTAACAATGTTTTTCTTACTTTCTTATTGTGATTGAAATGGTGGTTTTTTCTGAAACGATTTTTACGACCCATTTTAATTAAAAAAGAATAATTCCTGAAAAGAATGGAGCCACCTATTTTGATTATAAAACAAAGATTCTATAAATTCGAAAGATTATAAACCTCTAACCACACTTATTCAGTGGCTGGTTGAAGAATGAGGTTATGAGAGAGATTATGTCAAAGTCAATGTCAGTGCATTGGAACTACTTTGCGATAAATTCATCAAAATCGATTTGTTTAAATCGATACTTCCTCAAATTACTATTTGTAATTTTCTCAAAAATAAGGGTGAGATTACAGGGGGGCTATTTTCAAAGTATGGGAGCACTCATTTCTCTCAAGATTCTCATCAGAAATGTCATACGTCAATGTGGAAATGTTGTTTTTAAAGGCATCGAGGATTAAAATTCTTAGGAAGATTTTAATTCTCTCTAAATAAACCGAGAGAAACAGTCAGTGAGTTCACACTGGCCCTAAGAGCCCTAAAAATACGGTTTTACGTTGACGTATGACATTTCTCTTGAGAGAAATGAATTCTCTCGAGTTTGAAAATAGCCCCCCAGGGGTGCTATTTTCAAAGTATATAAACAAATTTCAGGTAAGGCCGACTCAGCTGAGTTGTCCTTGAACGAAAATGGGAGTTCAGTGATTTATTATACCACGTTAGAGCTGAGTAGTAACAAATCCGTAAATGCTGCTGTCCATATCTAAATTCCAGTGCAACACTGGAACGAGGATACATGTTTTCTGACTGAATCCACCTGAAACTGTAGAGAAGTTATAAATGTAACTGAACTTCGATTTTAGTTTATAACTGTAACTGAACTTCGATTTTAGTTCAAGGACAACTCAGGCCAGTCTGACTCAACCAATGAACTGGAGTGGGGTAGAAAGCCAATGTGCATATTGTATCAATAGAACAAGATGCGACTCTATAGGCGCAGCCATTTTTATTTCTCATCTCACTCGGGAGTATTTATAATGACCATTTTCTGTTTCACATTGTTATTGTTCAATCCACAAGCTGGTGGATCAGACAACAACAAAGTGAAATAGAAAATGGTTGTTATAAATACTCCCGAGTGAGATGAAAAATAACCTGTCTTCGCCCATAGAGTCGCATCTCAAGCCTATTGACAAGCATTCTACCCCACTCCAGTTCATTGGACTCAACTGAGATCGATTTATTTATAAAGTCCGATTCAGCTGAGTTCTGTTTATGTCCGTATTTATAAACAGAACTCAGTTGAGTCGGACTTGGGTAAGGTCCGATTCCACCGTTCTGTTAAACGGAGATTAAAATGACATAAGTGGTAATTCTATAACGAATATGTTAAAATTTAACGGACGTTAAAAATATTAACGTATGTTAAATATGAAAAGCAATTCTGTAGATTCCCGAAAAATTTTAACTTGTCATAATTAACATAATAGTTCATTTGTGTCGCAAAAATCTATTCTATAAGCAGAAATATCTATCACGTGATAAAAAATTCACAATATCTCAGATGAATCCGATGTGGATATTCAAACGCGGCATTAGCTGAGTTTTATTTATAAATACATCCTAATGTTCTTGAAAAGGTTAGTGGTATTAGGGCCGATTTCACAGCTGTGTTAAACGGAGATTAAAATGACATTGTTACATTGTTAATGTAAAAGTGTCATTTTAAACTCCGTTTAACATAACGGTGGAATCGGTCCTTAGAGTAAAAAGTGCTCGATTTGCCGAACTCATTTCATTTTTATTATTGGTAACACTGCAAGCGTGTCGCATTGGAGCGCACGCGCATTCTGAAAACGAAACGTGTGTCTGCAATAATCGCTCCTATGAAAAGATATATAAACATGGCGTTTAATTTTTGGCGTCCGCCTTTTCAACAAATATTAAATTAACCACATACATAAATATTTGGCGTTTTTTGAAAAAAGGTAATTTTTTTTATTAATATATCTTTTAAGTGCTTTTTTCATTCATGCAATCAATACTATCCAATTGAAATTAGGTTTTAGGTCAAAACCATTTTTTGTTTATTTGCCTCGACTAATGTTTTTGGTATTTTTTTCAAAAATATTTCTAGGTTTGAAAGCTGGCTGAAAAGTGTGCCGTTTTTTGGTTAGGAACTGACAGTAGGAAAAGATGGACTGGTGTGGGGCAGTGCCAAGCTAATGCTATAGTGACATGCAGTCTGAGTCTAGCACCAGGTACATTCATTCTGTATCTGACCTACTATATACTACAGACGAAATTGAATTTTTACTTGACGACATTAGGGATCTGGAGCCCAAAAATTATAAGCCTGAAGATATTCAGGTAGTGCCTACAAATTCAGATAAGAATTGAAGTATTTTTTTCGTGATATTTAAATGCATGAATATTTATTTTTGTAGCTAGTTTGTATTGCTTTATTCAATTTGAATTTGGTAGAATACATATTTTTCATAAAGTATCAAGTTCTCTAAATTGTTTTAGGCAGTTGTGTCAAACTTGTAGTATAAATAGAAAAGGATTTTAAGTGTAACTTTGTAGTAGTTATTCGTTCGAAGTAAAATTAAGTTTTTGAACATGTAGGTTAGCTCCAGGAATACATAGTGTCCATATATAGCAACTAGTTATTAAATAGTAATTATTAAAACCTATTTAGTATATTTATCAATTTGGTGAATGTGTTTTGATATATTCCTTGCTATGTTAACCAACATTGCTTTCTAATTTGTGTTATGCGATCAAGAAACTATTCTAGCCATTGAACATTTAGAAAAGCAATAAAATTGCAATAAGCAATATTTAGATTATATTTGACATTAACAAACATTCCCTCATTCTAATTCTTTTTTATACCATGGAAGAAATATGTATTCTATTAAAGGTGAATTTTTATTTTATGAATGCATTTGTGATACTACACATTTTTTGTTAAGTTATTGTTTACTTTTGTTTTAAATTGCCATTAAATTATTGAAAATAAAAATATTGTTTTTAATTTCTCGAATTAAATGTAAAAATCTATTTTCTGATTAGAAAAAAATGCATCTCCGGAGTATAGTTTAATATTAATTGTTGTTTTTCCTTCAATAACAAAACCATGGCAAGTCATTCAGGGTTGGAGTGGGCTATCCTTTGGATGCTTATTGTTAAGATTTCATATACAGTTCTGTTTGGTCCAATTCTCCATCATTAAGTAGTGCTTACTGGCCATGAGTATTGGCCAATACTATTTTATAACGTGTAAGCTATATACACAGTTGACTATTAAAATATTCATATCTGAATTCAACTAGTCAAATTATTTTTCCGAATTTTTATACCTGTTTATTTATTTTCTATCATTTTCTGTAAAATAAGTTAGTTACCAAAAGAGTTGGTAACAGGCACCACTTCTGTTATTCTACTCCACTTTATCCAATCTAAATAATATATCGCCCAGTTTAAGATGGTTTATTTGTCTCAAACTTACCCTTTGGTGATGTCACTCCCATTTACTTAATAATTTTCCTTTTTTTTTTTTTTTTAATAGCTATCAATTATTTTATGTCCATTTTAGAATTTGTTATCGCTTGTTAAACGATAGTGGCGTTAAAATCAATTTAATAATGTTTCTACAAAATGAAAAGATAATTTATAAAAACTGGTAAATCGAAGAACACTATTATTTCCAAAATTAGAATTTTTATTTAAAACTTTAGTTATTTAACTCATTAGAAAGTAAAAGAATTTCAAGAACGTTTTACATTACGACGTAAATACTAGACCACTTACTGATGGTATCTTGAGTTCTGCAAAATATTTAAGTAGCATTTTTTTTCTGCATGTTAAATGTCATTATCGAATATGATTTTAGTAGATTTTAGCACAGCTTAAGAAAATTGGTTTTCGGCAAATATGAAATATTTTTCTGGTATTTCTGAATTATAACAATCAAAATAAGTATTGGAGTTATATCGTACCTATAAATAATGCAAAATATAAAAAACGATTTTTTAGACATGTTAAATTATCAAAAAAATATTTACGTAAATAGAACAAGAAATTAAACAATAAGAAATATATCCATGAATCGGTTCACTGTGCGTGACAATAAATAATACCGAGGCGATCATAATTTTGATTTTAATGTATTGTTTAAAAAGAACCATTGGTTCAAAAATGTTTGGATTTTTTTTTAATCAGACGCCATATTTAAACTCGTACAATGAATACGTAAACGCTGGAAAAAATTCGATAATAGGTAATTAGAGTCAAAAGTACTTTTTTGCTGCTTGAGACAGAAAGTTACAAAGGATAATCTGTCAAAAGCGGTAACGGACTTTTCGTTCAAAATGCACACAAGATTTTTTATACGATCCCATTGTATTAAGAATTAAATACAAAACTGTAAATATCAAATGAATTTAATTGCAAATAGTCTACTTGAAAAGTTTTAAAAACTGGGTTTCGTTGTATAACATATTGCCTACCTTTGGAATCTGGAATACTTCTAGTGCAGCCATACTCAACCTGCGGGCCGCATGCGGCCCTCCAAGCTTTTTTGTGGCCCGCAACACTATTATTGGTCGCAGCGCTAAATGGCATGCTAATTTTTTGGAATTTTGTGGGGTTACTGCAAAAACAAGATAGCTACACTTTTAGAATTTTCGAGTTAAGTAGGTACACTTTCTAGAAGTGTGAAAGAAGTCCAAATTCATGATAAACAGATAGCCAATAAAAACTAACTCCATTTTAATACATTAACAATATAGACAAATAAGATGGAGTGGCATTTATACCAAAACATAATCATAACATTGTGTTCAATTGATAAATGTGTCTACCAAAACCAGATAATAGGCATATAAATTATTTTTGCTAAATATATTTAGTTCGATTCTTAATAGTGTTCTGGCCAAAACAAGATAAAGGCCAGAACCAAGGGGAAACCAATAAGGTCAAAACGTACTTGTATTTCGGAAATCACTTAAAAAAAAATTATGCAATTTAGGTGATTTTACTGAAAATCCACCTTAATTTTATACAATGATCTTTTTTTCTCGCCATTTCGGGTTGTGAGCGACGAATTGATTTCGACCATGATTTTAGATGATGATTTTGGAATTTTCGAGAAAATGTGTAGTGATTTCCAGTGAAAACGTTCCAGTATTTCGGGAGTGGTTTGCCGCTACTTATTTTTGTT